GCTGCATTCTACGCAGGAATTCGGAAACTGTCTCCCGCTCGCTGCCACATCTCGGCATCTCCACCACGTTGCATACTATTTGCACTGTAGGGCCTGCCACGTCGCCGGCCTCCCACTGCAGAGACCTATCGTGCTCCTCTCCGCGGCGTGGCATGTCGGTGTCTGTGACGGACTGCGGCAGGAAGGGGTTGTAGTGTAATCTCGCGGCTTCGACGCTAGAGAATACGGCCACCCTCGATTTGCGCCCTGTTGCGGCTTCCGTCGTCGTGTAGCCACTCCGACTCGCGCTTGCTAAGGCCAATGCGGCTTTGACAATGGTGGATGTAGATACGGTCGTGGAGTCCGTGGGGTCTGCTTTCAGGGCTGGCATGGAGAAGCTGTGCTGCAGTTGATGGCTTTCTCGATAATGATCATCTATTGAAACTTGTATCCAGGAGGTCGGACTTGGCCACAATGCCCCAGCATCAACATGTTTGGGCAGAGAGGCAAGACGATCGACATGCCAATCTACAGCCGCCATAGCCCGCGGAGAGGTGCGCAGAGCGTGGCATAAGTCCAAATACGGCTTGTAGTCCTTGTACTCTCGCAGCTGTGCTTGAATGCTTGCAGCAGTCAAACCGCCTGAAGCTGCCATAGCGACGGCTCGGTCGAGGTCGTCGTGGAATAACTGTCCCGCAGAATGATCACTGATAGAGTGGTTTGCGGATGTGACCATTGCCGCAGTGCCGGTCTCTTCTACGTCGAAGAGCATAACTCGATAAAGCGGCCCGGGAAACGTGTTCTGTTGCGGTGCTGGGAATCGATGGGCCTCAGCAGCATTTCCGAGTGCGATCTCCTCAAGATCTTTCAAGCAGCGTACGGAACCGCCGTCTTGTATGGCCAAGTCGAAATACTTTGCCGACGGGCGCATGATGACGTGGAATGCCTCTTTTGTCTTGGGATTGGCATCGCGCCAGGCCGGATCCCAGACCATTAAAGAGCACATGATGGGTTGATTGAGCAAAGCTGCTTCTATGGCAGTGCGAAGTTGCTAAGCAAAAAAACGTTCTATTAGTGTCTTGAGATGTAGAAATAGATGGTGATGACATACCTTTTTAGTTGTCTTCTGCTTGGTGCTGATAGCCATGTTGAAGTTGATGGTATCATAGAAACCGCACTGAGATTGCACGGCATTCGAGTCATACGCAGGGCAGATGTTCTCAACATCTTCCCACCCGAAGCCGCATGGCGAGATGGCTCCCAGAACCCGATCTTTGATGAAGTCGAACAGTGCCGGTTCGGGGGCGATGTCCTCCAAGTCTTCTGCTGAAAGAGGTCTTTGTGTTGCAATCCTGTCGTCGGCAGCTGCCATCCTTCTTTGTTGGTTGGTGAGATGCGCCAAATTTGCGTCCTTCATCGTTGACGTTGTCTTATGATCGGCTGACAGGCTGCGCAGAAGTTCAATCTGCTCCGCAACAGTCGATGCTTGAGCCATGGCTGCCAATGGAAGCGCTATACCTGTTTGCTTTCTAATTTTGTCGCGGACGCGCATCATGGTTATGCTGTCTATGTGCTGCCCAAGAGACATGTTGACGTCCAGCTGAGATGTATTACCCAGCCCGAGAGCCGTCGTCCAAATAGCTTTGACCTGCTCTTCGTCATGCTGTTCGAGCCCGGAAAATGTGCTTGCTGCCCCAGAAGTAGCCTGCGTGTCAAGATGGGCTGCTACAGCCTGCTTCAGCTTGAACTTCTGGATCTTACCCGACGTCGTTCTGGGAAAGTCTGCTAGATCGAGATCCTTGAGATTGATAACCAGATCCGGAACATGCATCGTGGTCATATTCTGGAGCACGGTTTCACGGACTGCCTTTTCGACCGCAGTAGCTTGTTGATCACCTTTGATCACCACAGCGGGAACCTCTCCGGCGATGGTGTCCCTGATGCCGACACTGAAGGGCACCTCGTGTCAGCAATGTCTGCGGCATTCAACTGAAATAGAAGCGCGCTGAAATCAGAAAACTTACACTTGTGGATTGAGAGGCCGGAGGGCAAAGTTCTTCATCAAAATAGCCTCGATAGCGGCGGGGGAAATGTTTTCGCCGCCGCGGATAATCCTGCAAAGCAACGGTTAGCTAGAACAGGATAGCCGAGGTGGCGGAAGTGAATAGATTGGCACGTACATGTCTTTGTAACGTCCGGTAATGAAGAGATCTCCGTTTTCGTCCATTCTTCCCATGTCTCCGGTCCGAAACCACACTCTGCCTGTCTCCTTCTCAGTGTAAAATGCCTTCTGTTCTTCATGCTGGATATATCCCCATCGCCCTTCACGGTATATCATAGGACCATATCCGTGGATCTCTCCTGTAACGTTTCGTGGAACAACACAGCCCGTGGCAGGATCTATGATCTTGATACCGTGGCCCATCGGCGGCTTTCCCACAGACATCTCTTCCGAACCGGAGGAAGAACTATCAGGACCTGCGTCAGAAACAATCACACTGCCGGTGCTGGTGAGGGCGCCTTCGGTGCAACCATAAGCATTTTCGACAACTTTAGCCCCGAGAACTTTGGTTGTCGCGAGCACTTCCTGCCTGGTCAAAATCGTTCCGCCAAAGGTGACGCTGATAAGTGATCCAAGCGGGGGCTGATCCTTTTTCATAGCTGCAACCAAAGCGTGGATCAGAGTCGGAACCAACAGCGTGTGCGTGATCTGTTCTTGGCGAAAGGTAGATAGCAATGCTTCCGGGGTCGAGAACGCCGGGCTGGGGAAGACCAAGGCCGCACCGCGGCCGTGTGCGGTTTGAATACAGGTCCAGCCGTTTCCATGGTTATTCGGAAGAATACTGCATACTCTCGAGCCAAGTCGTGGGAGAATGTGAGACGGTGAAAGTAGGAGTCGGCTGTTCGTGTAAGTGTTCAAGACCGTGTGGTGGCAGAATAAGCCCTTGGGCCTGCTTGTTGAACCGCTAGTGCTACTCAAAAAATCAGCACCGCCAAAGTTTTGAGACGACTGTCAGTTTTAGGTTAACATACAAGAGAACGATGCCGGCCTGGGCATGATCCTTGCCTTCAAGGCCAAGAATTGGGTTGGAGTGGCACAAATCACTTCTGCCATTGCCATCGATAGACAACATCAAATCATCAAGGCGAAGCCAGCCTTCTCTCATTTTGGACCCCGAAGCCAGTATCTTGACAACGTGGGGTCCAAAAATGTTGTTGTCAATACCCAGCTCATCAATATCTCTGGCCACATCTGAGTTGGCAGCGTAGACAAACCTCAGGCCATGATCAATGGGGGCAAGACTCAAAGCTGTTCTGAGCATGTGAGCTGCTTCATCGCGATTCTTGAGTGACAGTGGATTCAAGGGGGTCAAGGTGCAGCCTGTTGCAACAGACGCCCAAGCCGCAAGTACAAAGTCCGCACCATTCTGGAGAAATGTTACCACCGGGGTTCCCGGGCCGAGTTCTTCCAGTAGATCAGCATCTGCGACTATGGACCTTTTGGCCACCACAAGCTTGTGGATAGCTTGAGCAAGATTTTGAAAAGTCCAGCGAAGATACGACTGAGATTCATTCTCGGGACTTGTGTCTCCAGAGGCAGAAGGGCCAAGACTAGAAAAGCCAAACAGATCATGCGGCTGATGAGAACACACCAAGGCCAACTCGTTTGGGTGGCTTTTCATAGCCATAAGCAAGCCATCCCAGGCGTCAGGAACTCCTGAAAGATCGAGAGGCGGACCATCGGCTACGCTGAGATCAAGTGATGCTGACACTGGGGCAGCCATGTTTGGTCTTCTGATGTTCGGAGGTTATGCAGGTTGTTTTGAAATTTTGAAGAGTGAATTTACTGAGAGAGTGACAGATGCTTACACACATGTTGTAAAACGTGAAGTTTATGTCACAAGCGGCATCGTTTACACCGGCGACACCGGTGACACCCATGCATTGAGAGTTCCTAGGATTAGTCCTCGACCCGTACGAGTGTTTCACTCACCGCTCTATTAATATCAGCAAAACATGGAATTGTTTGAATGGTTAGTTGATTGGCCATGAGCGCATACGAATAAATTGATTCTCGTTCACTGAGTCCTGACTCGACACTCTTCTATCCCCAGTTCGTGATCCCGAACCCGCAGTTGCTGGGGAGGCAAGTCCCACACAGTAGAAACTTAAAATCGGTAATTGTGACATTGAATGTTATCAAAAGAACCCCTACTTTGACCCTGGATTGCGGAAGTGAAAGATGGATGCGCTTGCGACAATCCACATGGCCTGACATAGATCTCGGTCTAGCGTCATGGAGAGCGCCCCATGCCTTCCATCATGTCTGCCCCATTACCTACTGTAATGCGTTAGCGAGATCACCGAAGTATTTTCCAAAAGTGTATCATTAAAATGGCGCCAAATCTCCTAGTGCCAATATTTCTCGTTGACTCCCTGCATAGGCCAGAATACCGTCACGACTTGACAGAATGAGAATCCGCTGACCACCTGCATACTGTGTGTGCATTGGTCCAATTGTTACTAACAGAACTACTTCCCCGAAGTCCACCAACCAAAGCCTTGCTGACAAGGATTCAGCGGATTCTCATTCTTACAAGTTACGACGGTAAGTGTCTTCCTAGCCCCTTGCAGCAGCTCGTAAGAGATGTTAAATCGGGCGCTTTCTTTCATGGAATGCTTCGGTCATCAGGATCTGGCAGTTGCGCTTGCTCATTCCCAAGCCCATCTTACAATCTGCGCGCACGTTCTTCACCTCGCAAGACCTCAGAAGAGGCCTTGATCCTTTCCACACATCTCCATCTGTTTTGGTTCCCTTTGACATCCTCAATTCTGGTCTCATCAACATCCAAAAAATGACTTTTTTGACATCTTCAACAGCACACTTCTCATCTTTGGTATTTACTAGCCGACTGTTCTATGTTGCCATCGTATCATACTTCCTCATTGCCATCGTGAGGTCATGGAGTCGCTTATGGCATCTACCTGGCCCATTCCCATGTTCTTTCTCGTACTGGCCGATGTTCAGAATACGCTGTCATGGCTCCCGCGCGTATTCTGAATACGCCAGGCTCACGGCGCAATACGGCAAGCTCGTTCGTATAGGTCCTAACGATGTGATCACGTCCGATCCGGAGCTTATTAGGCGCATGTCAGCAGCGAAGTCCACTTATGAGCGCAGCAGCTGGTACAAGGCGACTCGGCTAGACCCATACCACGATATGATGGGCAGCGTGCTTGACAAGTCTGCTCATCACTCTTTAAGGACGAAACTTTCTCCAGGTTACGTGGGAAAGGACATTCCAGGACTAGAGGCCAGTATTGACTCGGGAATCGCGGAACTGGTCGATTTGATCCGCCTTAAGTACACGTCGAGGTCAAAGGCTGCCAACATTCCTGAAACAGGCGAAAAGGACCAGGTCTCTAAGCCCTCGGATTCAGAGTCTGTCGATTTCGGCCGCCTTGCAGACTACTACGCCATGGATGCGCGGTCGAGGATGTCGTTTGGTCGGCCTATCGGACTTCTGCAGAAAGACACGGATGTCTTTGGCCTTATCAGAACGTCGAATATCGCTATAGATGTGCTGCAATTCTTCACGGACATTCCCGCGCTTCAGATGATCTTCACGTCGGATCTCGTGCTGAGACTCTTGGGCCCAAAGCCGACGGATTCGAGTGGTTTCGGAAAGATTATGGGGTAAGTCAACTGGCTTTCTGTGAACTAGATGGTTAAAGTCCAAGGCGCAACCCTGCGGCTTGGGAGATCATTATCATGTTAACCGGTGTCGCCTACAGACTTGCCCAGCAGCACGTTGTGAAACGCTTCGCTCCGGATGCAAAGGACGAGCCCGACCTACTTGTAAGCCAATCTAAGAAAACATCGGATTTCATTGTAGATCGTTTACAAATTGAATAGGGATCTTTCATTCGCCGTGGGCTTGACCAACGCTCCGCGCAGTCTGAAATCATGTTTCCAATGGTCGCTGGTTCAGATACAGCCGCAAAGGCCATCAAGTGGACAATGCAATACCTACTGAGCAATCCTTCCAACTTCAAAAGTCTTGAAGAGGAAGTTATGACAGCGATTTCAAACGGAACAGTCTCTGAGCCAATCACTAACATAGAGGCTCTGAAACTTCCCTTTCTTCAGGTAAACCCAGGCCGCACATGCCGAGCTGATAGATGTAATCAAGCTCCTCTGCTTCGCGCTGACACCGATCTTCTTAGGCAGTCATTTACGAGTCCCTCCGTGTTCATCCACCATTCACTGGCTTGCTCATGAAACAGGTCGGGCCTGAAGGCGATGTACACCAGGGCACGTTTTTGCCTCCTGGTACAAGAGTTGCACACGACACGTGGTCAGTGACGCACGATACACAGCTGTTCGGAGAGGACGCCCACATATTCCGACCCCAGAGATGGCTCGAAGCTGACGCCACCACGGTTAGAGAATGGAAGAAACGAACCGAGCTGGTTTTTGGTGCCGGCAGGTGGCAGTGTGCGGGCAAGGCGGTGGCCATGATAGAGCTGAACAAGATCTTTGTCACGGTAAGTTCTCGAATCATTCTGAAAAAATAACTCGGAGTACAGTCGCCTAACATTGACAAATCTAGCTTATTCGTAACTTCGAGTTTCTGCCGACGAGTGCTTCTATGTCGGTTGTTATCAAAGTTCGCGAAATGTAGTCGACATGGCGGGGAAGAGCATCTGGCTTCAGAAATATGAAATGGAGGCGACAATCAGATTAGGTTAGACGGCACCGTATTAAATAGATGTGAGAGTTTCTCGTCAATCCTCGGAATAAAGAGAGTGCATAAGGCAGCTGGAAATTTCACTCTTAAGTCTTTATTTAGCCCACCAGAAAGCTCTGTTTTCTCATTACTGATGGCAATCAACTTATTTGAAGACGAGTGGACCGCAGCTAATTAGGTAGCCCTCAATCATCAATAACACTAGGTTGTATCGGACTTACAGAAGCATAAGTTCCACGCATGAAGAGGCACATATCTAACCTTAGTTGTTGACTGATTATCGTTCCATCTGAAAGGCGCTGATAACATGCGCTTTGGTCCGTTCCTAAATAACATGTGATATACTCTTCAAAACTTGAACTGTGAGGATTTGCGACCAACAGAAGGTAGATGAGTGGAAGATCGGAAGAACCTTTAGGCAATGTAACTTCTATTATCTCATTATCATCAACTCTCAATCGTATATCCGTTGGTCCAAATGGCACCTAGGTAGAACGGCTGCACCAACAGCCTCCAGTTCGTTCCACTTTAATGTTGCAGACACGACAACTCCTTTCGTTGTTGGAACCAACAGCAACGAACAATTAAATTTCCCCCTGTCACTAATGAGCCAAGAAGAGGGGTAAGCTTCCCTTATTCGATGTAAATATAAATAGCCTGAGCTCCTCGCCTGATTACGTAGTATATGATCAGTCTACATTCTCATCATTTCGTTCCGCAATGGCCGACAATCAGACCACTGCAAAGGATGCCGGGAGCCCTGCGCCTGCTGGCCCCGCTCTCGAAGCTGAACCTCGAAACGACGACTTAAGGGAATCCGGATAGACGAGCATTAAACATAGCGCTGACTCTGCACCGTAGGTCACAAATGACGATGCCTCGGACAGAGCACCAGTAAACAAACCCCTGAGCGCCGCGTTATCTAATAAACCAAAAACTCTTCTAACGCTTCTCAGTCTGTGGCATCATTTAGTAGGTACGAGCTTGTCTAGTTCTATTCTCCATCACCGCCAGCGCTGCCGCAAGTGCAAGCAAGTCAATTTTGACCCCCATACTTGTCAACTTGGTATTCTTTCCTCCTAGGCTTTGATTATTGGCTAACTTGTAAGTTAGGCAAGTCAATTCCCCCTACCCTGCCTATGATATGCCCTCACGTATGCCCTCACATACCCTCACGCCCTCATATACCTATATAAGTGGGGCTAGGGCTGGATTATAGCCTTCTATTAGTTAGCTATTTATATATAAGACATCAAGTCTAACAATTTAATTGAGGGGTGTGAAATTGCTTACTTAAGTAGTGGCGATGGCGTCAACTTAGCCGATTGGCTTGTATTACTTGCCAAGTGACTTGCACTTGCGGCAGCGCTGATCACCGCCTGGAGAACGGAAGAACTTATCACAAGTACAAGGACGGGAGTAGGCGCCCCAAAATTTCGCATTTCTGATCCAATGATGAGAGAGAGAGAGAGATTGAAAGACTAGGTTAGTTGTATCTTCACATTCTCAACAATCTTTCTCATCCATAACACAGACTTGCAACATAACCTCTATCTTTTGACCTTGGATCACAAGCTTAGTCTTGCTCCCCCAAACTAGAAATATTGAGGTGTGAAGCGCGCTCTTGACATTAGAACCGACACAGGCCTTTGGGCAATTGAGTTCGCCGATGAGCACCCCGAGGCTGAAGCAAGTTAGCCTCTAGTAGAAGGACTGAATGCTAATGATACGTAGGTCCTAGGCGTTGACCTTACTCCGGTACGAAATCAATTATATTGCCTGATTCTCATTCCGATAGAGTTCATCTGCTCACCATGTTGTCAGTGTTCCACCGAATGTTAAAACTTTTGACTACGCCTACATTCGTGGCATGACATCTAGCATCTCAGACTGGCCTGAATATCTTGAGAAAGTCTACAAGTTAGTGCCTTTGAGACAGCTCAACAGGTTCCATGATTGACCTGTTCTCTCTAGTGGCCTCGCCGGTGGCTACATCGAATTGTTTGAAGGTCACGCGCGTACCCAATCTGACGACGAATCACTAACACCGGAGCATGCGATGTTGCAGTGGGCGGACAAGCTTGACGAGTGTTGCAAGATCCTTGGGCGTCCATTCGTTCACGTCCCAAGTCTTGTGCCCAAGCTCAAGGAGGCCTATTTTGTTGATATGAAGATCGTCCCGTTAGTGGCCCGTCTTTCCGTGGGCCAAAGATTCGCATTGTAAAGAGATAAGAGAATGGACTTTTGCTAATGCTTCGGAGGGCCTTTCGGAGGGCCTTGAGGCATGGACTATCGCAGCGTTGACCAGGGCTCTCAACTGGAGCTACTCAGAGGTCCAGACTCTTCTGTCTGAAGTGCGCAAAGACATGAACGACAGAAGTTTCCACCATTACACTCCACTGTAAGTCAAACTTTATCTTGTTCACTTCAACCCATTCTTCCCATGATATCTGTCTAGTAAAAGGCTTAGTTTGTTTGCTGAATCCATGATGCTAATGACAATGAGGTGGGTGATTAATGCGCAGAAGCCAGCGGAGAAAGTTGCAGGGTCATCCTGAACCCTTTGGGTCTGAGTTTGCGTCAAGATAAATACTCCTGAATGATGAACGAAGAAAGTGGTTCTAGTATTAGTAAAAGCCAATAGAATCCAGTCAAGCAATTTCCGGAGCAGCTTGGCAGTAGTACGCTTCCCATAGAGGTGTCCCTCATCTCGATAAACAGAACCCTCAAGGTGAGAAGAGTGAACAAGCTAACAATTAGGACGACCTGTCTCCAAAGATCACTTGCCATTCAACGCATTCAGGGACAACCGCACATTTTCCTGGCGTTGGTCATATCAACGGTGATCAAGTTCAAGAACTAAAATGCTCTTTCAGTTTCATGGGAGTGGAGGACCGCGTTATTTCTACCTATCACCTCTGACCGATCACAGGCACGAAGGACATGCAGCCTCTGATGCTTCCAGATATGACCACATATTCAACAATGAGAAGAGATTACTTGTCGTTGCCATGTCGGATTGCGTCACGATTTACATGCAGGTCACGTTGCACAATCGTGGCGAGCCTCATGCGATGCCTGCCCAGTTCCGCTAGCTGCCTTGATGTCCTCACTTAGTCCTTTTGCTGGCGGACCAGCAGGGTTGTGAGTCAACCTACGACAACACATTGAAAAGCCCTGTCTCTGCTTTGCATTCATAAGTCGATGGGTCCCATTCATCAGGACAAAGTGAACCCATCACTTCCACCACTTCCACCACTTCCACCACTTCCACCACTTCCAGTTCGCGCACCCTCTTTAACCCCAACACGATGTTCCCCAATAACGAAGAGCAGAAGGAAAACACGGAAATACTAGAAATTGACACGGAAGTTCAAAGCGATAAGGAGAACACTTGCGACACTCCGCCTGAAATTGTCACAATTGGGACATCGGATCAGGAACCGGAGACAGCGTGGGACCAACAGGAGTCAGATTGGAGCCAACGTAACGATGACTCCCAGGACGGTTCCAAAGATTGCTCCGATTGTGATCGTACCAACGATGCGTCTTTATGGCCCAAATATGTATCTAAATGGGTCGAATTCGTTGTCAGCAGTATGAAGGCAGAGGAAGTCGACGACAATTCGCCGTCGAGACTGGAGTGGCTGAAACAGAAGCGAGATGAAAATGAAAGGAACGTATACCTTGACCAACTCATGACTATGGTTGGTCTTGAAAACGTGAAAGCTCATTTTCTTGCTGTCAAGGCCAAGTTCAAGGCCGGCAAGCAAGCCCACGCCGGACACAAGTTGCGACTTCACCTAGTTCTGCATGGGAAAGATGGAACAGGTAAGTCTTCCCAAATAGAAGAAACCGGCCATAAAACTGACCTACCACGGAAGGCAAGAAGTCCATTGCACAACTTTACGCGCAGTTCCTTTTTTCCATTGGGGCTGTGGCCAATAAAACATTTTCCAGGACGTCAGAGCTTTATGATCGAAATGGCGATGACAATTACGATTACGATGATGGCTGTTACCCGCGAAACAAACCGACAGTATGTTAGAAATGTAGAGATTCTTCACTCAAAACTGACCATGAGTAGGTTATTTTCTACGACATTTCTGGTGTTGACTCAGATAACTTCTGTTATTCACGGGTTGCTAGCAACGCCATTGAAAATATGGAAGAGTCTGTCGTGATCATCTCCTCCAGGATGAAGCCCCTTCTAGAAGCTATTGAGGATAGTGAGGAGGCTTTACAGATGCTGCCAGCTCCACTGACTATCTCAGACTATAATGATGATGAACTGCATCAACTTTCCGTGCGTATGATGCAGAAAGTAGGGTTCTCGGTTAAAGGGGGATTCAAGGATGGTAGTGTGCGCGCCTTCGTGCATCGAGTGGCACGAGCACGAGAGTCTGAATGGTCCGAATGGTTCTCGAACGTTTATCACTTGCAGTGGGAGTTGAACCAGGCGAGAAAAAGGCGGTTACTTCGACTTCAAGGGGAATAAATGCGGTGGTTCGGCAATTCTTTGGTTCCCGATTCCCAGGTATCGTGTCGGCAAAGAAATACCGAGACAGACACCAGCGACAACCCAAAAGCGATTGATCCAATCGGTGAGCAAGAAACGGTATTCATAGCGGAAGATCTCCTAGGACCGGAGCCGAAAGACGCGAGATTACACAATGCTTCGTGGAAGAAGCTACAAAGCATGATAGGACTCAAAAAAGTCAAGAGCGAGTGCGGCGATGTCATCGACTTTGCTCAGATCAATTATCAACGTGAGCTTCTGGGACGGAAGCCGCTAAAGGTCGGTCTAAACAGATTGTTTCTCGGACCCCCTGGAGTAGGGAAAACTACCGTCGCTGAATTATACGGCCAAGTCCTCATCGATCTCGGGCTTGTTACTGGGAAGGAGGTCATGGTATGCAATCCATCTCACTTGATTGGCCGGTTGATTGGGGAATCCGAGCAGAATACGCTGGATATTCTGAACCAAGCTAAGGGGAATGTGTTAATCATCGACGACGCCCACATGTTGTACCCTGGATCAGAGACTGATACGTTTCGCGTCGCTGTGCTCGACACTATTGTTGCAAACGTATCGGCAGATCCAGAGGACAGATGCATCATACTTGTCGGATACGAACATGAGATGGTTCAGCTGTTCAACAACAGCAACCCAGGGCTTCAGAGACGTTTCCCCAAGGAAACGGCGTTGCAGTTTGACCCTTATAGCGAGGGCGAACTGTGCCAGATCATGGATCTGAAAGCTGAACAGTGTGACCTCGAGATGACACAGGAGGCCAGGATGGTGGCTCGGCAAGTCATCAGCCGCATGCGCATCAACCCAAAGTCCGGAAATGCGGGAGATGTCGAGAATCTACTCAACCAGGCAAAGATCCGTCTCAATGCGAGAATCAGATCCCGACTTTCTTACGGCCAAGCATCGGTGCAATTTGCTATCGAACCTGCCGATATTGACCCACAGTGGGATCGGGCTTCACGGGCCGAGGAAAACAGAGCAGCCCTCTTTGAAGACTTCGTCGGATTCAGAAAGATCGTCGAAAAGTTCGAAGGTTACCAGCTCCTAGTTGACGGCATGCGGCTACATGATATTGATCCTAGGCCTCACATTCCGTGGGCCTTCATTTTAAAGGGTCCACCAGGAACTGGTAAAACATCGACGGCTCGAAAGATCGGACGCCTATACTACGACATGGGCCTGCTTTCCACAGACGAGGTTGTGAGCTGCTCGGTTACCGATATTATTGGAGAATATCTGGGGCAAACTGGTCCCAAAGTCTGCAATACCCTTGAGACCGGCCTCGGAAAAGTTCTATTCATTGACGAGGCCTACCCTTTAGCTACAGGCGCCAGCAGTAGAGGTGGCTCCAGCTTTCACATGGAAGCCGTCGGAGAGCTGGTCGATGCCATGACACAGCCGCGATACAGAAACAATATGGTCATAATCTTGGCCGGGTACACCCACAAGATGGAATGCTTACTGCTAACCAACCCGGGTTTGCGAAGCAGATTCCCAGAACATATCACATTTGAGCCCATGGCTCCACACCCATGTCTTCAGTATCTGAAGAATCAGCTTCATAAGCTCAAGATCGGCATTGTGGAAGAAGACGACTCATCGGAGATTGTCCACGGGCTGTTTGAATGTCTCAGCCTCACAACGGGGTGGGCCAGTGGTCGTGACGTCGAGACGTTGGCCAGAAGGATTGTTAGCAGCGTCTACATGCAGCAAGGCAAGTCCGGAAATAGAGAGGTCGTGGGTTCCCTGCAGATTACTACAACTAATCTTGTTCCAATACTCGAAGAGATGTGGGAGGAGCGCAGGGGAAGAAAGGCCACATCATATCACGCTTGGTAGCGTGATGAGCATCACCGGACGCACAGTGGTGACCTAAGCTATTGGGAGCTGACAGAAAGGCGTTATACCGACTTCATCGTACAAATTTAGTGCAATACTATGGCAAGGCCTGTTGAATTATCTAATCGAAGGAGACTGAGAGACACATGTGTGATCTTATTGAGTGGAGACAGGTTGGCTTAAACAAGGTGTTTGTCATCGGATGGGCTTCGCTCATTAAAGTAAACCCCGAGCCCACAATGGCACTGAGACCTTACAGACAACAACAACATTCATTAACAATACAAGGTAGAATAAAAGCTTTTGCACTTGTAGAGTGACTTAAATACTGCATTACGGCTGTGAGAAACCGAGAAAAGTTTGCAACCTGCCATCAGTCTACTTTCGCCTATCCCAGTTTTGTTCAGCCAAACCTCCCATAAGATTAGAGACTTCAAGCTTTCACGCCTTTTAGTCTCATATTTCAAGTGTCGGAAAAACGATGGCTGTCACCGGAGGCTGTATTTGCGGTGCCGTCAGGTACACCGCGGAATGTGAGTTACACCTGAGAGTGCCATTCCGATCTCAAAGCTCATCATGTCAGTGAACAACGCTACCAAAGCCGTCTGTCATTGCAAGCCTTGCCAGAAAGTAAGACCACCTTCAAACATAGACTACGACCGAGTCTAAAATGAAGTCAAAAGCGGACTGCAAGCGCCTTCAGCGTCAACATCATCATCCCCCGTGGCGCCTTCAAGATAACCCAAGGTAAGAGTGTGCCCGATAATCCGCCTCAACTCTCAACTTTCTCAATGTACTCATTTGACATGCAAGTTTAGGCATCACCAGATCTTATCCTCACCTCGGCGACTCCGGCAAGCTATACCACAGCCACTTCTGCGACAACTGCGGCGCGTCCACCCACGGCGTTCCCGACGCGTCCATCTCTGTTCTTGCCATCAAGGCAGGAAGCCTGGACTCCGAATTCGTCAACTTGGGCGCGATGGACTCCGAGTTTTATGTCGTCGACCGCTTGGGGTACTTGAAGGCTTTGGAGGGCGTGAAGCAGCATGACGGGATGATGTGACTGTAAGTGTGTCGAAAGCTGGCACAGCCATAGATTTCGCATTCGTTTCTGTACGAGATTCCTAGCACTTCGACGATTCGTGGCTTTTACTGTATAAATTACAGAGATGAAACCGTACGCATTCATTGCAAAACCCTTAAGTCTGCTTTTGCGGTTATGATAAGAAAGGGAAAGCAATCCGGAAAGATTCGGTTTCACATGCATGAACAATACATAGCCTAGGGTAGTCAAAATAGTCGATTTACTGGGCGTGGGGTAGAACAAGCTCCCAGTCTGACGATCCTAAGCGCACCATCGCGCACCTCCATCTTCTGCCCCGATTCGGAGTTGTCCGTCTTCAGTGCCGCTCCTCCCGAGAGGCCCCAGGGCCCGTAGCTAGCCTTGACAGAGCTATCAGTCGAAAGGGCCTTCATCATCTCCTGACTTTTTGTTGCAGTGCTCCTGAACTCTAGGACCGTGTCGGAAGCAACGATGAAGCTGGTCGGATACGCAGGGAACTTCCCATACTCGGACTTCTTATCCTTACCAATCTCGTCATCGCCGGTTTCGACTCATTGCTTCATCTTCCGTGCCCCGGGGCTCAGCTTAATATCTTGGGGAGTATCGAGGTCAAAGTCGTCGAAGATTTCCGCATGCAGCCAGGGCCGGCGGATGGTCACGAGCATCGCAGAGAAAGACCCGTCCACAGAACATTCCGACATGGTCTTGGTGAGATGCTTGCTAGATTTGCTGAAGCTGGAGTCGGCCTGCACTGACGCCCACCAACCGCCCACGCTGAGCTGAGCCCCCCCAGAGACGGCGGATGCATTGCCAGCGTTGCTGTCACTCTTGGCGTCTATGTTGAAGGCAATTTTGGTCCAGATATCGGCACCATTAGAGTCCTGCTGCGAAGCGTTGTGCGTTGCGCTGCGGAACTCCGATTCGTCGACGTGGATGATGTTGCGATTATCATCAATGTCCACGATGGCAGAAGGAAGGTTACGGGCTGGCACCCCTGACCCCTGCAGCTTTGTCTCAATGCTGGTGATCTGCTCGTCCAGTCTCTTGATATGGGATTGTATGGACGTGCACATGTTCTTCGTGCCGCCTGACGCCATGTCTGCGAGCGTCTTCTGCGTGCGAGCCGCCTGCAGCTCCATCTTCAATTTGATCCATTCCGTCTTTCCATCTTCAAGTGCCTTCCTTGCATCTGCTAGCTGTTTAGAGTCATCGCCAGCCGCAGCAACTTTCTTCTCAAGGTCATAGAGATCAGCAGTCTTTTCATGAAGCTTTTGCTCTGCTGACTTTTCGTTTTGTTCCATGGTCTTGATCTTTCCATTTGGCTCAGCCTTCGGGACTGTTGCATCCTTGAGGGTCGAAGATGGTTCCGCTTTACCGTCGTCCGCTGGCTTGTTGTCCTTCTCAGAGATCCCGGGGCTCAACGCACCAGGGGGGCTCGAGGCTGCTGCCCCCTTGGGGATTGAAGTTGGCTCCGCTTTGCCATCGTCCGTCCGCTGGCTTGTCGTCCTTATGATCAGAAGTTCTGGAGCCATTGGCCTGGGGCGCCGATTCTGAAACATTGGCGCTACTATTTAGGCGAGCAAGCAACGTCTATGGAATGTTAATTCTAAGCATTTTAGAGGAAGTCGTCAAGCACCTCACCTTGTTGTACACCTCGTAAGACTGCCTCATGCGCTTCAGGCTGTCTAGTTTCAAGTGCAGAATATCCGGATCAATAGGGTTCCTGTTGCGAAAGTCCCTTGCCTTCGCCTGACAAAGATACGCCCTTCCAAGAGAGTCAGCTTCGAAATCGGCGCACGGAAAGGAATCATACCAATTCTTGGGCTCCAAAACCACTTCAGCCCATTCAGTGCCATCAATAGCATGGATCATGGCGTCTCTGGTAGCTTCCTAAAATTGCTTGAGCCATCTGTTTTGGGCCTGTACACGGCAACTACCAACAACTTACTTTGGCCCTTTCGATTCTAGCCATAACGGAGTCACGATCCACTAACGCTGAAAGCTTGTTAGCTACTTGATCGAGTGATGGGCAGAACACGTCTTACCAAACGCATAGTCAACACGGAATTTGTCGCCATTGACGACCCAGTCCATCCACTTAGCATGCGTCTCTGCTTGGGCCTAGCAATCGTCAGTACATGTTGCGGGGTGTGCAGGTGATGCAACGTACCCTCTTGATATTCTTTTGTCGCTCACTGTACTGAGCTGCACTCTGTTGGTCTTGTCGATTCATTCTTGCATCTGAAATATTGTCAGTATTCATGAAACTGACAACGGAAACAAGATCTTCCACACCCTTTGCATCGTTCCTTGCTTCGTCGAGTTTGGATCGCGCCTCGGCCCAAGATGTCTGTTTCGCAACATATCGATCGACAATGGTCTCCTTCCCTCCGAGCTTCTTGACTTTTTTTTTTCAACTCGATTACTTGGTCGGAGGAGGGAGACTTCATAGACGTTGGAAGATCGGCGCGCAGGAACGTCATGGCTTGACCGTACTTCGTCCCCCTGTCTAGATCTACACATCAATCAGTCAAAGTTCTGTTGTCTTGACTCTTGGCAGGATATCCACTGTCGAAATTGACTTCAGTCGAGCCAATGTCTGTTCTTCGTGGAACAAGCGTATCCAGGGCGCTGTAGTAACTACGCACGACGCTCTTTCCGGTTGGACCGAGCTACACAGTCTCTATCTCAGTGCCTCAGGAGACCGATGATCAAAGACGAAGCTCACCATCATTTTGTCCAGTGGAACCATAGAGTCGACAAGTCGAGCTTCATTGACGCGAACCTCTTCGTTTCGATCTAAGCTCATCGCACTTTCGTTCTCGGAGACAAAGCTGGTATCATACCAGTATCAGCACATGACGATCCAGGTGTGAGAATGTAAAGCTTCACCTTCCTCCAACCTTGGTGTCGATAATCTGACCCGGAATGGAAATGGTGACAAATTGCTCCAAAGCACATGGGAGAGACTGGAGAATACATTCTCTCAGCTTGGTGCTGACATTCGCCATCAGGTTGATGGCCTGTTCGGGAGTTATGTCTTTGTCACTCATGATGGCGGGAGAACTGGTGCGATTGAAAGCCTGCTGCAAAGAGAAAGATATTGGAGGGTGAAGGGATCCTTGTGTGTAAGCCTGAGTCCGTTCAACTGAATTGAATCTGTATATATATACCAGTCTCCCTGGGACGCCCGAGACGAGTTGGGAGGGGCAGGTTTGACATTTCAAGACACTGGAGACCAAAGCTGGCGGTCCAAGGTCACATCTCATCCTTCATTCCTAATGAGGAATTCCAGAAAGTCTCCCTTGATGACTCGTGGAAAACAGGGCCGTCCCGAGGTGAATCTTCTGGATCAACCCGGATGTCTCTTTCATCCCGCTGGCACAAACTTGGTGTCCTTGGCCGCATAATCACAAACTTCAGCTCTGAATCTCAGCCAGGCGTATGTCTTGATGCTGTCTAGTCAACTGAGAATAATGCCTTATGTGTAAACGGCGATTCCTTGTTGCGGCTAGATATTCTCAGCGACTATTGGTCTCCAGGAAAGACATCAACCTGCTGGTAGATACGAAGTTCGAGCTTGCGTGGAATCGAGACTTCCGTCGGCGAGCTTCAAAATTCCTGCTCAAACCCTGTGATATTGGCCAGGGGCCATCAAACGATACATGTCCCGAGATGTGCCCACACAACACCGACCGCCAGCTCGACGGATGGTCAGCTCAGCCAGCCATGTTCTGAGTCGCCTCTGTCTCGCATTCTTTCTAAGGTAACCACTTAGCCAGGAGTTCATCAATTTCCGTTCTTGGGGCAATATGACCCTTCAGCTGATCTGAAACTGAATCATCGCAGACGGAGGCATTGGAATCCGATGAGTCTTTGCGACATGAGATTAGCCAGGGACGACATTGATTATGAACACTTTGTTACCTGCCAT